TCATCGATAAAAGTTACAAAATACTTTTTACCGGTTCTTGTTTGCACACTTTTCATTCACATACATCAGTATGGATTAAACCTAATGGTTCAGTACTTCTTTCCACCGAGAAAAAGGCAACTTAGCCATTTTTGCTTCAATACAAATTTCACATTTTGTAATTGTTTCAACTTTAGAATTAGGAATTAATTCTAGTTTCATCAACCGTTTAATTGCATTTAGATTTACATGTCCCAATCTAATATGCCATATATCAGAACATTCAACGGTATAAACAGAAATAGGCTTTTTATTATTAACGGTTACACGCCTCACGGCCATTACATTCATTTTGAACAATCCCTTGTCGAGATAACCACGACCAAGAAATGTTCCATACTTGCTAAGAATAAACTTCTTAGCTTCAAACACCAGCCTAAATCCATGCTCAACAAGAAGTGATCCGGAGACCAAATTCTTGCGGATGTCTGGGACATGCAGAACATCCTTCAGCTTCAATTCCTTTCCAGAAGTGAGCTTCAGCACCACAGTGCCCACTCCAGCCACATCAGACGTGGAGGAGTTTCCCATGTGTAGTTTCCGACCCGTAGCAGGAGTGTATTCAGAGAACACCTCCTTGTCGGAACACACATGACGAGTGGCACCAGTATCGATGTACCACTCCCTCGGGTTATCCACCAAATTGGTTTCAAACACCACAGCCGACATGTCAAAGTCGGTTAATTCACCCGGCACAGGGCCGTGTTCAGCAACAAGGGCACTCAGTTGCCTTTTATTTGGCCCAGCTTTCTTTGGCCTCTTGCAGTCTTTTGCCATATGGTTTGGCTTTTCACAGTTGTAACAAGATCCAGTGAATTTCCAAACCTTGGCGGGCTGCTTCCCTTTGTTAAGGGGCTTCCTTTTGCTCGAATTTCCTTGCTCCAACAAGTTCGCACGAGCCTCCATTATCGGGCTTTTTCCCGACGAATTACGGTTGTCCTCCTCAATACGAAGACGAACAACTAGGTCTTCAAGACTCATCTCCTTTCTCTTGTGTTTGAGATAGTTCTTGAAGTCCTTCCAGCCTGGCGGCAGCTTCTCGATCACAGCCGCTACTTGGAATGACTCACTCAAAGTCATTCCTTCAGAATGGATATCGTGCAAGATCAGCTGGAACTCTTGCACTTGTGACACGACGGTCTTCGTGTCAACCATCTTGAAGTCAAGAAATTTGCCGACGACGAATTTCTTCGCTGCGGCATCCTCCGTCTTGTACTTCTTTTCCAGGGCATCACAAAGCTCCTTGGCAGAACCAACAGAGCTGTACACGTTGTACAACTCGTTACTAAGCCCGTTCAGGACATAGTTACGGCAAAGGTAGTCATCTTGCCCCCAAGCATCGTACGCAGCGCGTAGTTCTGCATTGGTCTCATTCTCAGAAATGACCGGAGGGTCGTCCTTCAGTATTTCACCAAACCCAAAGTGGTCTGGTAAAAATGCATCTTTTGTTGCCACCTC